TTAATAATACTTCTTTTCTATTAAAAAATATTAATTACTTAGTATGTTAATATTTTGGATTTATATTCCTAAGTAGATCAGTGGATTACTGTTACTTTAATTATATTCCTAAGAAGTTAAAATTTATATTCTAGATTGTTTATTATCCATCTTCCTATTTAACAAAGAATTACATTAACTAGTTTAGCATTACATTTCCTTTTCTATAGTCATTATTCTTTTAAAATTAGTTGAAAAACACTATAAATATGCAAGCCCTATGGTTTGTGAAGTAGTAATTCAACTTCTAATAATTCTATACCATTCTACAATGAATAACTTCTTTCTTAGTGGATTTGAAGAATTTTTATCTTCCTCGTGCATTCCAATGAAAATCTAGTGGATTCTAGCTGATTCGGTGTAGCTTGGGTGTTACCAAAGCACCATCATAAGCATGAACGGAACTAAGCAAATCTATCCCCACTCCTATCCTACAAAAGTTGGCATATTATCAAAGACAATATCTAAAGATGTTCGAGGAATTCTTCAAATTGATGAGTTTGTGTTCGATCTTGAAAGTTGCCTTCTTTGTTTTGATTCCCAAAATTCAAGGGGCCACTATGTTAAAGATCTCCAGCCTATTAGTCTACTGAAATGCGCTAAACACAGCTTGTCAAAGATCTTATAATGAAATTGAATCAAATTGTAACCAAAGGTGTTTGCAAAGCTCAACAAGCTTTTATGGAGGAGATCACTTTGATGCAACCTTAATGGCTAATGAGATAGTTGAAGAAAGAGGCCAAGGTCTCTTACATAAGCTAGATAAACAAGAAAGCTTATGGTTATCAACAAATTAGTAAGTGAATCTTCCAATGCATCTCCACTACCTCCTTTGATGCCTTAATAAATAGGGGCCCTACTAGTCTTTAGGTCATCTAGGGATATCAATATGATCCTCTCTCTTTATTGCCTTACATTCTAATTAATGGACATGGAGTGAAGTGCATTAAGGACTGAAAGACTCTAAGAGAGAGACTAAGAGTGAAGCGAGGAAGACAGAAGATGGGAGGAGGGGATTCAGTGAGTAGCAAAAGAGAGACGAAGAGAATGTACGGAAGGAGGAAGGAAAGGTCGGCCTGAAGTGAGAGAAAAGGATGGCACATCAAAGGCGGAAGTTTTTTGCGATTGAAAGCAAATCCTTTAGTGTGGTATGTGAGAGGAAGAACATGGAGGGGTTGAGAATTAGTGAGAATGAAAAGGGTTTTAGGGTCTTTTTACTGAGGAGGAGGATGTTGCATGGATAGTGAGGCCCTAGGAATCTTTTATTGGAGGAATGGTGGTAGATATTGGAAGAAAAATAAGATGGGGAGAAATCATTATTTCAAAAAAAAAAGATGGGGAGAAATCATAAGCTTTGGGTGGCACTTAGAAGAAACAAGAATGGAAGATTTCTAGTGCTTTTGGGAAAGGATAAAGGTGATAAAGATGATCTTCATTCCAGATGGAGAGCAAGCAAGGGGATAGTGGAAATTGATGAGGGCAGTGTTTGAGTTGGCTGATAAACCCATAGAAAACCCAAATAAAAGACGGAAGAAGGTGGCGATCTAGGGAGAATATGAGAAGGGATGAAGTTAAGTTATTCAAGGACAAGATTTGATCCAATGTCTGCATTGCAGAAACGAGATCCGTTGAAGAGGCAAGCACTATGTCGTTCGCAGATGCTGTGACGAATAGAGGGCTTGAGGAAAATTGGGTAGGGCAGATGAAACCCGTGAATGAAGCAAGCTAGGCAGCTTTTGAAGTTCAAAATGGAAATAAAGCCCGCTGAGTTGGATCACTTCAAAATGGTCATAATGGGCGCCGTTTCAAGGAAATGAAAAGAAAGCTCCATAGGCCTGGAAGCCCAAAGTGGCCAGAGGGGTTTGGGAAGCCTAGAAAATGGAGTTGGACAAAGAACTGAAAGTGGATTGAGTGGGTTGGCCGAGCAAAAGAATGGGGCAGAAATTAAACCCACAGGTCAAATGGGTTTCGAGACTTATGAGAAAGGGCTCCGTCTCGTCTAACCTGATAGGAATGCAGGTAGAGGAAGACGGAGAGAAGGAAGGCGAAGTCAAAGTGGAGAAAATATCGGACGACAGAGAAGGTAGAGAGGAAAAAGAAGTGGCAAATGAGATTGGAAATGCATAAACAACTAAAGAGAGTATTGAGATGGAGGAATCAAGAGAAGAAGGAAAAAAGGAGAGGGAAACAATCGTGCTGAAGGAGAGTAAGGGTGATGAAGAACATAGGAAAAAAGAGGAGATCATGGCAATAGTGGTAGTGGAGGAGAAAGATGATGAAGTTTTCAAGGGGGGAGGATGTTGAGAGGGAAGAACAAGGAGGAGAAAACCTAGGGGAGCTGGAGGAGGGAGTTGACAAAGATGAAAGGGCATCAGCGTGAGTATTACGAAATATTCAAAGAATAAGCAGTCTGGTGGGTGTCACTTTTGAAGGCATAGAGACACAAGTGATGGAGTTGTTTTAAGAGATAGAAAGAAGGAGAAGGGAGAAGAAAATGAGGGGAGGGAGGCCCACGGGAATTGAGAAGGTTGCACTCTTCAATTAACTATGACGACCGAAGATAGGGGGCGAGAGAATAGGGGGTGTTCAGTAGAAGAATAATTGATGACTGAGAAAATTATATCTTAGAATGTTCGAAAATCAACGACCGAAAGAAAAGACAAAATCATAAAGGTTGCATGAATAGGCGGCATCCTAATGTCTAGTATCTCCAAGAAACAAAAATGGAGAATTTATCTGATAGGTTTTGATCAGAAGCTTGTGGAGGGTTAAGAAGATTGAGTGGCAGGTCTTGCCTACAAGGGGAACTGCAGGAAGAGTTATAGTTATATGGAAAGATGAAAAATTAAGGTGCAAAGAGGTGTTGATTGGGGAGGATACAATATCTTGCCTGTTCAAGAATTGTCAGAGGGAGGGG